GCCCCCATAACGGTTATCAGTATTCTGACTTCCATCACCACAGATTAGTTTTAGAATCATACAGTATGTTCTTTTTCTTTAGTATGTATTTTTTAATGTCAAGCTTCTTTTACACAACATTGTTTGTGAGATTCATCCATGATTTTACTTGTAGCAGGAGTTTGTTCTTTTTTATTGCTGTAGAATTTTCCATTATAGGAACATACATCCCACTACCTTCTTTATCCAATGTTTCCAAATTGGGGCTACTATGAATAATGCTGCTACAAAAATTCTTGTGCATGTCTCCCAATAAACATATGTATGCATCTCTGTGGAGTATACACCCAAGAGTGGGATGCAGGGCCACTGGGTATGCATATATCCAGGCACTGTTCTAAGCACTTTATATATTAACGCATTTAATCCCTACTACAACCCTATGAGGTATAGGTGTTATCAACATCCCCAATTTACAGAGGAGGACATGGAGGCATAAAGAAGTCTGTGCTGTTGCTCCATTGCCTCTCTGTGAGGGGCAGGGACCACATCAGCCCTGTGTAGTACAGTATTCCTAGTGTCTATCACAGTGCCTTGCATACACACAGGAAGAGCTCAGCAAATATTTTTTGAATAAAGTATTAGAGAGTAGCAGGAATCCACTGCCCCCCAGCCCTGTCAACAATGCTTATATCTCAAATGAGCTGAAGATTTTATTCTCCATTTTTTGACATAAATTACAAATCAGACGAGTTGCCCCATGTTTGCCTTCTCTTAATGCCCCTTTAATGGATATGCTATTGAAAAGGGAAATTGCTAAGGATTAACCACACAAAAGTATCATTCCCAATACACTGAATTTGTGTAGTGGACCTTTAAAATACATAAGTCTAGCCCAACAGGTAAGAAACCAGACTCAGAAATTAAGGAGACTTGACCAAGATCAAACTGTTACTAGCAAACTTGGGACTAGATTTCAAGTCTTATGTTAAAGAGGCTGTTCCTAATACTCACCAGAATGACAAAGCAGTAGTACTTTAAGACCCTTTTGGGGATAAGTCACTTTTCCAACTAAGGGAGTGTAAAACACTATAGGAATGTAACATGTTTGGTCATTATTTCTAAGAGATAAAAATCAAAAAAGTTAACTCCAGCCTTAATATGCAACTCAAAGCGAGTTCTCTGATAATGTACTCCTGTGTTCTCCAGCAAACTAAATGAAGATAACTGGGAACTAATTCCCCAGGTTGGTCTGAGTGCATCTCTCTATCTCGCAAGTGCCTTTCTACTGATACGTTATATACTCTGTTTGCAGAACCAGCGGCAGTATCTCTTAAGAAAACTGCTCCTGAGATCACTGCAAATCAGTTTCCTCAAAGAACAACAGAACCAAAAGATTGTACAGAATGGTTTTGCAATCAGGAGACCCCCTACGTGACCCAACTTCATCAGGTAAATGTCATAAATTTTTAGAAAAAGTATGGAAATGTTTATCAGTTGTAGGGTTCAATTCCTAGCCCAGGGAAATGATAATTCACTGAAAGGCATTTTCATCTCCTAACTAACCAAGGAAAGGCTAACTAGTTGATTCATGGGATAAATCTATGAAATTTTAGTAATTCCTTTTATGGAATCTTCAAATATGTCCATGTCATTCTAGTCTCCATAAAATGTGACTGTGGTTTAAAGATGAAGATTTCTGATCTGTGAGGGGGGGCTGTGATTTGTCCAGAACTGTGCAAACCACTGAACTAATATTTTTAGCCCTGAAAAAGCACTTGGTGATTATATGAATCTGGCATGAACAAGCATGCACACACAGTTTTACAGCTGAAGAGGACAACTAGTTAGTTTAACATTGAAAAGTCCCCCTGACAGAAAGTAGAGCTATGGTATAAATCTGCAAATAGCCAGACTACTAAAAAGAAGTACTTCTGGATGAACCCATCTGAATTAAGCATCCAGTACATGACTGTCTAGTAATTGATACTCCATTTGTTTTTATATATAAAATACATAACATTACAACTTTCAGGTGTTCTGTTATCCCTGACACTAAATGTCTATGCCTAAGACAAAAACAGAACCAAATACAATGCAAAAGTGATAGAATTTCACCTTCTAGATTCTATGTCTTAGGAAGAATACGTGTAAGGGATAAATCCCTTCATCAAAAATGGGGGAAAAAGGGGCCTCCCTGGTGGCGCAGTGGTTGAGAGTCCGCCTGCCGATGCAGGGGACGCGGGTTCGTGCCCCGGTCTGGGAGGATCCCACATGCCGCGGAGCGGCTGGGCCCGTGAGCCATGGCCGCTGAGCTTGCGCGTCTGGCAACGGGAGAGGCCACGACAGTGAGAGGCCCACATATCGCAAAAAAAAA